CCCTTTGAATGCCGCTGTTAAAGTTTTCTTGTGAAGCAATACTCAGTCATAGTTATAATTATACCCTGTCAACTGAATAGTGCTATCTGAAACAAACACATTTTGTTTGCAGGTGTGCCTATTGTTAGGTTGGGGGAGCAAATTAGTTTTGATTCATTAGGGAGTGCTCTTCCAGATAAGGAACGGCAAAACATGAATTGGCCCAGTGCTGAGAAAATATATAGTATAAAACAAATAAAACAATCACATAGATGCTACATGATGAGTTTATGTTTTTCAGCACAGTGTCCTCCAGCATCAATGCCCTTGTTGCAGTCACCGTTGAAGACTTTATTCGTCCCGTGTGGAAAAACCTCTCAGTGAAGCAGACAACCTGGCTGAGCATGGGCCTGAGTAAGTGTTGATAAAAGGTTACCGTAATTGTATGATAATGAGTACACTTGTTCTGAGGGAACCCAAAAAAACGGTTTCTTTTTATTTCTGTGTGAATACGTCCAAATTGTAATGAGAATACCTTGACAGATTGATAACAAAAAAATTATTGATTTGCATAGGGTGTTTCATAGATCTAGGTTGCTTTACAAGCACTCATATCTGAGCAACTTGGAATGGTAACAAGATAAAACCGGTTTCGCTTGAAAGGCGGTATCTTCAAATTTTCTGCTGCGGTGGTCTTGTCAGGCCGCTGTTATATCACAAGCAATGTTGTCTTTTTGCCTAAAATTTGGCTTGCCCTGACTTCAAATTGATCATGCCGTTCATTGGAAAGGTGTTTTGTGTCTTAAAATGATAAGAAAGGACGACCTGACGACTCGAATAACCGAGGCCTTGACAACCATTCATCCCGATTTGCTTGTTCACGTTCGACAAGGAATCGAATACCGTTTCAATGTATGCTGTGTAATCAAGGACTTGTCTCTGGAACATTTGCGATCGTTTTAATAAGACATTGATTTCTTACATTTTTATGTTAAAATTTTGGCTGCAAAAATTTAAGATCAATAGCTTTCAGTATATATAAATTGGGTTTACATATCTTCAACAGTCATTGAAAAAGATGATGTAAAGTGACACAGACTATATGAAAGACCCAGGAGCCTATAGTATTGTGAAAGATGTAACAATACAAGTTCATGAACTCCACATTATCCATAAACCCATTATTCAAACTGCTTATCCTCTCAAGGGTTTACTGCAGGCATGCTGGAATGGTTATGTAATAGAACCTATATAAAATGTTTCTTCAGACTTGCCCATTTCAGAAGATGAACAATTGATTGATGTCCTTAACCTGAGCAAACAGCTTGTTTTAACCACATACTGTATTTTTTCCCCAGTGCAAATGGCTCTTTCCTAAAAATTACCATTGAAGAACAGCACAAAACTGCTGAGAAAGAAAATACATCTTTCTGAAATGCTAATACTTTGAGGAACTATATTTGTCCTGCATATTATTCCTAAATTTGTCAAAATTAGGCCGACACATTTTGTAGGACAGGGCAGGATACAGTAAGACCTGGCGTTAGCAAAACAAAAACATGTCTGAACTCTAGTGGTCACTGGTGACATTAAAACTTAAAACTACAGTCGATTGATATTCAGAGTTCAGCACTTAAAATTTTGCATATTTGCTGTTTATATATATATATATATATATATATATACACACACACACACACACACACACACGCACACGCACACGCACACGCACACGCACACACACACACACACACATGCTTGATTTTCTTTATTCTGAAAAAAAAGTGCATATTTTATCTCCTTCACCTGAAATCTATTGTTTTCTCATGAGGTGTGTTCTTTGGTGCTCTGTGCATTGGGATGGCTGGAGTCGCTTCACAAATGGGAAGCGTTCTGCAGGTAAACCTGACAGCCAATCACACACTGACAGTTTTATCTCTACAGCACGGTGTCCTGATTGTGTTGTGTCCACAGGCAGCTCTCTCAATATTTGGGATGCTGAGCGGGCCACTTCTGGGGCTGTACCTATTAGGCATGCTTTTCCGCACAGCCAACTCAATTGTGAGTTGCACACAAAAAAAAAAAAAAAAAAAACACTGACACACACCTGCTGCCCTTCAGCACTCGCTTGTTGACTTTGCAGGGAGGCCTCACAGGAATGTTCCTCAGCCTGGTGTTGACACTGTGGGTAGGGATCGGAGGTCAGCTCTACCCGCCGACGGCAGACAAGACAAACCCTCTGCCACTCAGCACTACGGGTTGCAACAACACTCTCCAGTCCAACATGACCACAGAAGCGCCACGGACCACTTCAGTCACCCATCCTTGGCAACCTGAGTGAGACATAAGAGATCACTCCCGAGTATTCCTGTCATTCAAGTACAAATAGAAGTATGACATTGCGGTGTAACTATAACGGTGATATTGCCAGGATATCGTCGTCGTCATGTTTCGATATTAAGAGCAGAACGTCTCCGTCCAAAAACGTTACCGGTACTTTTCGCCCGCTTCAGCCAAACAGAGCATTGTGAACTACATAGACTATGGTACTTTGTGCTGCTGAGCCAGGAGGAAAAGATGACAATAAAATGACGGGCCACACCTATTTCTTTGTAACGATGATTATGATGTACAAACCACAATATTGTGCTTTTTCTTATCAATATCATGAGCTGGGCCACACCTATTTCTTTGTAACAACGATTATGATGTACAAAAACACAATATTGTGCTTTTTCTTATCAATATCATGAGCTGTTTTTTTTAACAGTACCGTGAGGTTTTTTTTGTTGTGTTTTTTTAATATCGCCACACTCCCATCAATATCGTGATAATTACCGTATTGTGAGGTTCATATTGCGGTATCGAATCATGACCTTTGGGTAGCGTTACATCCCTAGTATGACAATCAGTAAATATAGTACAGATTTACTGTAGTCAACAGGTAGGAACCTAATAAAAATTCCCCCAGTCCCCATTCTAAGTTGAAGGCTGTTCAGGGGTGGCATGGCTTGGTGATAGTGGTGAGAGTGGCATTTCCCACCATTGCAACCATAGTGAAGGGTCCTTGAGCAAGATACTGAACCCCTAGTTGCTCCTGGTGCTGCGTCACCAGTTGGTGAATGAGGTAACATTGTGAAGTGCTTTGAGTAGGTCGAAAAGCACTGTTGAAGTGGCAGCCCATTTACCATTTGCTTTATAACTATACAATACTGAATGATAATCTGATTTCCTGTGTGTATGTGTCAGTGTTAGGCCCCCTTTGGCAGACTTCTACTCTCTGTCCTACCTGTACATCTCCTTCCTTGGGGCATTGACAACCATCGTGATAGGACTATTGGTGAGCATGATCACAGGTGAGGACCACTTGCCGACTTGCACCGTGGCAAATGCATGAAACCTCCTAACACAAGAAGACAAAGCAGTAAGTTCCCCTTTGTTGTGGATAGGTGGCTGCAAGCAAGGCAAGCTGAACTCCCAATTATTTGTGAGGAAAAGCGACTTGGTGTGTTTCAGCTGCAGCCGTAAATCACAGGTAGAATTTTGTTCTTTGAACCAAATTATTGAAAAGAAAATCTCAGGTTATCTTACCTCTGTATTACATTTTCATGACAGGCTTCAGGGAAAACAGAGAAGGGTGCGTCAGAATTCGACATAGGAGCAGACAAGTCAGGATTTGTACACTGTGACCCGACAAGCCACGATTTTGTTGAAGCGACCAAACTATAATATTCCATTCAGCTATTGTATCTCTAACATGTATTTAACATAAATACTGGATCTTAGTCTGGCACACGATGATGTATTTCACATCATATAATTCAATGGCTATTTTTTACAATTTAAGGCATGTTAATGGAAAGGAATGGTACTACCCAATATTGTCTATGTTTGAAAAGTACAGGTGATGCCTGCTATTCACGGGGGACAGGGACCAGGCTGGCCTCCGAAAAACAGATTCACATATAATTGACCCCATTGAAATGCATAGAGGGAACAACATTTGTAAAAAAAAACGATGAAACCATAAAATTCTTCAAAAAGGTACTGATAAATAATCAAAATGTTTGTCCCCCCCCTCAATAGTTTTTAAAAAATCTGTAAATATGTGAATCCCAGGTGCTGAACCGTGAGTGTGCAGGAGTCAACTGTACAATACACCTGCTTTCCAGAAAGTTCAGTGGTACAAAACACTGTACATGTGAAGTACTTGCAATATACTAATTCGCTGCTTGATATTAATAAAATATGGGCGGCACGGTGATCGACTCATTAGCATGTCTGCCACACAGTGCAGAGGTGCAGGGTTCGATACCGGCTGCAGCCTTACTGTGTGGAGTTTGCATGTTCTCCACGTGCCTGCATGGGTTTTCTCCGGGTCTTCGATTTCCTCCCACATGCCAAAAAAATGCGTGCGTAGGCTAATTGAACAGTCTAAATTGTCCCTAGGTATGAGTGTGAGCGCGGATGGTTGTTGGTCTCTGTGTGCCCTGCGATTGGCTAGCAACCAGTTCAGGGTGTCCCCCGCCTACTGCCCGAAGTCAGTTGGGTTAGGCTCTAGCTACCCTTGTGATGACAAAACAACATGTCATTTCATGAACTGCTGGTGATGCTCATCTACAAATTTTACATTCACTTTTATTACGCTAAGTACAGTTTTGGTCAGTAATACATGCCTTTTTTTTTAAATCACCTACTTTTTATTTTACAGGAAAGGGTTCATTCTTGATTAAAAATGTGTTTACATTTAAATGCTCATCAAATAAATATTTTATATTTAAGCTCATTTGTATTGCATGCATTGACAGCATCAGTATGACCTCAACTTTTCACGGTAAGTACCAAACTGGAAAATTTTCATTGCAGAAAATAAAGCATTTATTATCTTTGTTTGATTTCTTATGAATAATTATGTACAGTTCACATTTGATTGCTAAAATAAAAGTTAACATTTCTTTGACCATTTACTGTCAAACTGAAAAAGTATGCAAATACCAGATCAAAACTATTAACGTAGTAAAATACTACAACACTAACTTTACTAAGGCATTAATCTGACGACTACTACAGCAGCTACAAGTAACTCGCTGTGTGTGGCAATACTGCACTAGCATACTGTAAAACTACTGCTGCATAAATCAGTGAAAAACTAATGTTTTTTTTTTTTTTTTTAACTATGCCTGCAAACTATGACTACTACACCACAACAAGAACAACACAATGACTTCTATACTAGCAATCTGTGACTACAGTATTACTATGCTTAGGACAATACTACCGTAAGAACCGCGACTACAAAACTATACCTCTTCCTGCTTTTCCTCTATGACTACCACACCACCACTATTTTTACCACATAAGAAATGTGCCTTTCAAAATTAGAGAACAGAAAACTTAACTGCATCTAAGGTGTCTACAAAGACACTACTTATGCAAAAATCTTCCCCTGAGCCTTTTTCTTCTTTTTCTCACTGTCACTGACAGCGATCCAGCCAGCGTCACGCATCCTCTTGATGCCCGCTAACTTTAGGGAGGTTCCCGGTGACTTAAGAGCAGTGGGGCTCTGGAGGTGGGTAAAAAGAAATGCAGCAATTGGGTTACTAAAATAATTGTAATTCTTTCTTAGACATTCACATTACCGGTACCTTTTTGGATCGGTTGCATTGAGAGAGGGAAACCGAGAAGTGTGGTGCTGGCGTGTTTTTAAAAGTCTGTCAAAATCAGAAGGACAAATGACACTACCTTTGACCTACTGCTGTTATTGGATTACAAATAAAAAACATTCTCACCAAAACATTGTTTGGATCAGAGCTGTCAGACTTGGGTTCCAGCTCCAAGGCTCTCTTCCTCCAGCTCCCTGGCTTGTCAGCACTAGGGGGCGTCCTTATTCTATAGGTCTGCAAAGCAGTTGCAATTCATTAGCATGCTGAGGAGTCAAAACATTTCAGATTGTCCAAATGATCAATCAGTTACTTTGATTTTTTCTGCTCTGCCAGCCTGCTTTGTCCCATTTACTGGGGAAGCAGAGTCCTGATGTTCCTTGGGCATAAATTGAGAGTTGATTCAATGGCACGGTAAGTCTTTACTATTGATAAATGATCCCCCATTCATCACAGAGCAATGAAGGTTCTACCTTGATCTTTGGGTTTTTTTCACCTGACATCCTCATGGATCCAAAGTCACATTCCTAACACATACATAACAAACCATATTTTGGATGTTAAATTACATTTTCCTCAACAATAAATGTGTGTGATACTTTAATGGTCACCAGTACATATTAATGCAGAAGTACACAACTGACTAGTTTAGGCGTCTTCATTACAGCAAAATATACAGTGGTCTTTGACTGACCTGGGCAAAGTCAAACACGTTCATCTTTGAAGACCTGCTTCTTGGTGTTTCTGCATGTCTCCCTTTATGATGTGTGTTGAAGGGATTTGCCTAGAAATATTAGGACAGTAATAGTGATATAGGTAGGATATAAATAGATGAGGTGGTCGGTGCTCTTGTATTTGTGTCATGTATGTATACCGTGTTGCTCTTGTCTTGGGAAAGCCGAGATAATTTAAGCGAAGACAATTCTTTTTTCAGATCACTTAACTCTTTTTGAAAGTTATCCTGACAACAAAAGACACAAGTTAGTCAATTGCATGTAAAAAAAAAAAAAATGAAAGAAAAAGAAATTAATAAGACAACACCTTCACTGTTATCAGCTGCTTCTTCAGTTGACCGTTTTCAGTCTTAAACTTTGAGACATCAATCTCCTATTTCAGAAAATGTAAAGAATACATCTTTAGCTATAAACTATTGTTTAGGTTTGTTATGTGACTGAAGTGGTTTGAGTTCTCAGTACCAGAGCCACCCGGCAGCTAATGGCCTCTGTCTCACGCTTCCTCATCTCGTCCAGTTCCGTATCCTTTTCTTTGACCATGCGGTCATATTGGTTCTAGGAAGGACAAAATGAAGGATGTGTTTGAATGGGCAGTAAAAGTGTGCAGGGGTCACATGTGTGGGGGGTCAAAGTGTACTTTGTGTTTTTCCATCAGTGCGACAATATCAGCCGTCTTGTGTTGACACTTGTGTTCTGCGTCCTCTTTACTCTTGATAGCCTCGGCTGCGGTTAATCGCAGCTCTTTTATCTATGGGGAAAACATAGTACCGGTATTCTATCACTTTTGACACTCGTGCCGTCACTCCCACACTGTACATAGTATAACAATGGCCGTTTTTAAAATGTATATTCCTATTTTATTTATATTACAAATTTATTTTCAAGGCTAATATTTATTTTTAGATTTCATTTTTTAGTTAAAAAAAGGCAATGCCTAAGAATTTAATGTGGAAATTAAGGAAACTAAATAAAATTATTTTCATTTAATAATCAGCTGTGTTACATTCTACTTTTCCAAAATCATTAACACATTTGAATGAGGGAATACTCAGGGAATGGTTCGGGAGTACAGAAGCCAAAAAATATTGGGAACCACTACTCAAAAGGGCCAAAAAATGTAGTTCATTATAAAAACAACCTTGTTGTCAAGATCTGCTGCAAATGAAGATTTATCGTGAAGCTCTTCAACCAGCTTTTGATGCTTTTCTTCAAGCTGTCTTTTCTGGTTGTTTGATTCATCATACAGACTGGTCATCTAACAAAAAAGGGCTTGCATTAAACATGTTTTTTAAAATTATTTTATTACACAAGAGGACCATAAGCATACCTTATTTTCAAGTTCATTGTATTTCACAAGCTCTTTTGCCATTTGTGTCTTAAGCTTTTTAATCTGAAATACACGGGTGAGAAGTTGAGCTGTGCAGAAAGCCAGTAGATGATCGAGCTTGTAGGTCTTACAAACCTCTTTCTGATATTCCCCTGCTTTACGATGAGCCCCAATTTTCTTCATGAGGTAAGAGCACTAAAAAAACAAACAGAACAATGTCATACCAGTGTCAAAGTAAAACAAGTCATAATCACACATCTTTATTTCTCCTCACCTTTACTTCTGCGGCTTTGATCTGTCCTTCTGTTTGTACAACCTTCTCCTGCAAATGCTGACACTACATTAAAGCGAAATGTTAAAATCACAAAAGAAAATAGCCGCTGAGCATTAATTTGAAGTTGCTTACATTGTCTTCTATTTTCTTCTGCAACATCTCAATTTCTGCATACTGTCTTTGGGTTAAACTTTGAATAGTGTGAACTTCCGCTCTATAAAACACCAAAAAAGAAATGTATATACACTTTAATCAACTTAAAAGACACAAGATGCTTTGTCTTAGAAAATGCTAAACTTTTGAATTTGAATTTACTTCACCACACAGGATATTAAAAACTTTGATATTCTGGGAAATGAAATGCCGTTCTACCAACATATCAAACAATTTCACTGCCGCGTGTCGTCTTTTGCGTGTCACTTGACATTGTGCTTTGTGCGCATCCATATCAGATCACAGAGAGTTTACATTAGAAGACGCATTTGTTTTTGTAATGTGAACGAGAACATAAAAAGAGCAGATTTAACAACAATAAAAAATCTGGATTGGGCCTCATGCCATACTGTCATGCAACTGTAGCCTGTCTGACTGCGACATCTAGCTGCTGACTTGAAAACTACATTCAATATAATATTATGCATCTTGTCCTTTTTTCCACAGACTGCTTTAAATTCCGCAGAGCTTTGAAATCCATACCAAATTCCAAATCCCGCGATTGCAGAATGACGGATTCCTGCGGGGACGTGTTATTTTAGAATCCTACTCTTATTTCTTTACTTTTAAGTGTTTTGGTGTTCTTGTTGGTTGCAGACAAAAACCAAGTGCAAAATGATTAGTGCATCCAAGCCTCCATATATTTATACATCAAAGTCATAATCCGGTAACATTTTGAACGTTTCGCGCACAAACAAATTTTCAGAGATGGACTTTCAAGTCTGTTTGATTCCACAATCTCAGAAACCCAAATACAACTAATCTAACTAATCTCTGAAATACAAACTGACCTTAAACGTTGGTTTTCCTCTTCCAGTTTCTGAATTTCCTTTGCGACCTTCACGGCCTTCTCCTCACTCCCCTGTCAGTCAAATTTACAGATTCACAAATCTTTTTTTTTTTACTAATTAATGGATACAATTTGCAGGTTTAGATTTCAAGTTTGCATGCGGTTTAGCGACCTAAACATGAGGCAAAACTCAGACCTTCATGGTTGCCGTGATGGCTTTCATATTAGAGGATGTGCTCTCAAACTTCAGCTCAAGAGCCTTCTTCTCAAAATTAACCTCATTAAAGTTAGACAGCAGCTCTTCATACTTAGCTCTGGAAAGCGGAACAGCATTGGTCATGCGCAATACGGCAGTGTGATATAATAGGAGGCTGTTAATTATGGAGTGACTCACTGATTCTGTGTGAGTTCTGTTTTGAGTTGTACTATCTCAAAGCTGCACTCCTCTGCTTTCTTCATTTCACTGAACAACTTTTCCTCCAGCTCGTGTACTTTCGTCTGTGGAACAGCGTGAAAACACATGGAGCTGAGTAGTGCAATCATTACAATGTGTCTGCTCCCATACGATTTCCACAGTTGATGTAAAAACCTCAGAGTTGCGCTGCTTCTCCAAGAAATATTTTTCTGCCTTTTCACCAGCTTTCTTGAGCTTTTCGTTGTCTACACGTATAGTCTCTGCCTCACACTGGTTTAAGGAAAAAAAAAAAAAAGTTGTCTGATCAATGTAGGGTTCTTAAAATATGTATCCATTTGGAAATTACTGTTGTGCATCACCATGACTCGCTGGGCTTCTATGGTTTTTGCCGAAAGCTCATCTTGGAGATCATTCACTCTGACCTCAAGAACATCAGCTTTTCCCTTCACAAGCTCTATTAAGCTCAAGCTTTTTTCCTGAGAGCACAAATAACAAAGAAGCAGTGTTTTCAATTGAAATATAGCAAGGTACACACTAAAATAAGTCAAACTCACTAATTCACTCTGAAGGATGGTGATTTGCTCATCTTTTCTTGCCCTCTGTTCTTCAAGTTCTCCTGTCAGAGTAAAAAATAGTTGCTTTGACTTTTTTTTTTTTAAATACAAATTGAGCACCAAATATGTGAAGATTTCTTTCACTTAGACTCACCCACAACTTGAAGACTCCTTTCAAGTTCTTTGTTTTTCTCCATTAGTTTTTCCTCGCAATCCTTAGACCTGAAACAGTAATTCCGGGACCAAAATGACCAAAGTAATCACCACTCAGGCTTCCATGCTGTGAATTCACAAGAGTATGTACCTTCGTTCCTCAAAGGCTAATGAATTCTGCAGCTCCACAAGGGTTCTCTGAACTTGCTCGAGCGTCTCGGCTAGTTCATTTTTGACTCGGCAAGCCTCCTTCAAGCTTAAATCTTTGCTGCTGAGGATCTGTTCATGTTCTTCTTTGCTCTGTCTCAGCACGACATCCATGGCCTCCTGTCTTGTCTTTGAGGGAGGAAACATGTTTCAGCTAAAGCAGACAACCCACAACTGAGGGGCGCTTGGAGAGTTTTATGATGTCGAGCAGATAGACTATGCAGATCAATCAGACATGGACAGAGCAGCATCAGAAATCACCTCGCTCTCTTTACAGCGCTGCTCTGCTGAGTGTAGTTTTTCGAGAAGGGACTCTTTCTCCATTTTTGAGCTTGTCAGCTCTTCACATTGTTGAGCTGCAAAAGTAAAAAAAAAACAAAAACATTTTGTGTATTACAAGATGAATTGAACATTGTTAAAGCTCAGGTGCACTCATTTTTACATTTTAAAACAAATCACAGGTGTCTTTTGTCAAAATAACCCAAGGACCAACAATAACAGCAGAACTTTCCCACTCTTGATAGAGTCGGATGTAGATTAGATCAGGAATAGAGTGTTGCATTTTGATATTTCTTCGGTTCCTTATTATTGTGGGAAATTCTCGATCAATTGTCTTCACATAATTGAATATCATTCATTATTAAGAAAAGATATTGAGTAGTTTTGATGAAAGTTGATTTGAGTGATGTGTTTTTTTCATCAGTACTGTATGTATCAAACTGTTAGCCCTTCACACTAATCATTAGCCAAGAAGTAGTTCAGTTTAAAAAAGGTTGGTGACCCCTGGTGTAGGGCTTTCTATACCATGACAACTAGTGACCAATGTTATAATAGTTAATTGAACACTAACAAAATAACTACAACTAAAATTGAAAAAACATTTTGACAAAATAAAAACAACAGCAACAAAACTAAGACTAACTGAAAAAAAACATCTTACGTTTCTAAAACTATTATTATCACGGTTATGTTGAAGTTTTCATCTTTGTTACTTCGTATCATACAAGAGCTTTTGAGGTTCATTTTAAATATATTTATTTTGGTATTACTGTGCAACTGAAGTAAGTACACACAGTTGTTTGACAGTAATAGTTTAATTTTATTACACACTACTTAGTGACTTTTTTTTTTCTTGCACTTGACAAATACTCCATATCGATATATTTAAGATAAAACGAATAAAAACTAAAACTAATCTTTTTGGAAAACATTTAAATGAATTAAAATGAACAAACTTGCTCTAAAAAGTAATTAAAAGTAACTGAATTAAAAAATAAATAAACTACGGTATAATGAAAAATCCAAAACTACTATTACCCCGCTAAGGACGAGTTAGAGGGCTGGGACAAGGCCAGTGCCCACAGATTCAAAACTTCGAGTGTATTTTCGCTCATGGACGAAACACTTCATCACATAACTGTGGTTTTATACGGAGTTACAGTATTGTGTGGACCAGTGCACGTGACGCCTGCAGCACCAAGTGATAACTCCAAACACAAAATGTGACTCCTCAATTCAGGGAAATACAATACGTCTTGCTCACGGACACATTTTCTGAAACAGGCAGCTCAAATAACATTCAGACTAAGGGCCTATTTGATGGACACCACTGCATTCTTTTTTTTTGCAATTTTGGTAGTGCTGATGGTTTCACCATGGAACATTTCAGAAAGCAAGTTGTAGTTGCATCATGCTTTGGGGTTGTTTTTCTTCAGCTCAAAACTGGAACCTTAGACAAGTTGAAATAACCCTGAACAGTTCCAATTACCAGGCAGTTTTGTTATATCGCAAAAACCTGATGTTTGAACAGGGGTGTGGAGACTTTTTATATCCTACTGCACATCCATCCATCCATTTTCCAATCCGCTTTATCCTCACAAGGGTCGCGGGGGGTGCTGGAGCCTATCAAAGCCGCCTTTGGGCAGCAGGCGGGGGACAAACTGAACCGGTTGCCAGCCAATCGCAGGGCACACAGGGACGAACAACCATCCGCGCTCACACTCACACGCATGAAAAATTTAGAGTGTTCCATTAACCTGTCATGCATGTTTTTGGAATGTGGGAGGAAACCGGAGCACCCGGAGAAAACCCACGGCGGCCCGGGGAGAACATGCAAACTCCACACAGGGAGGCCGGAGCTGGAATTGAACCCTCACCTCTGTACCGTGAGGTCGACGCGCTAACCACTGGACTCCCGGGCCGCCCTACAGCACATGTTAAATTAATCTATTTGCATATTCTCTTCCTGGAACGCAAGAAATCAGGCCCTAACTATGTCATTTCACTTGATGAGTTGGCAGACACTCCAAAGACCCAACTATGTGAAACACGCTATTAAAGTCAATATTGCATAATAAGATAAGAAAAGATAAGAAAACCTTTATTAGTCTCGCAATGGAGAAATTCCCAATTCACAGCAGCAAAGTTATGAAAGGAAGAAGTAGAACAACAAAATATAGGAGCTGCTGGAAAGGACAGCCACTCTCGCGGCGCCATTTTGAAGTCAAAATAACAAAAATAACACAACACAACACATAGGACACAGACAGTCACGCAATCTTCACCACTTTCCTGCATACACTTTGTTGGCTGAATCAGTTATAGATGAAAGAGGAGAGGATCAAAGTGTCCTTTTACCAGTGGATCAGAGACGCCATGCTGAAAATGTGCACGTCTGCTACAAGCTAAGTTTTGAAAGCAAACACGGAAGCTGTAGGGTCCATTGACAAAAAGAGATTAGTTCACTTCTCCTCTTTGGGTTAAACTTTGAATAGTGTGAACTTCCGCTCTATAAAACACCAAAAAAGAAATGTATATACACTTTAATCAACTTAAAAGACACAAGATGCTTTGTCTTAGAAAATGCTAAACTTTTGAATTTGAATTTACTTCACCACACAGGATATTAAAAACTTTGATATTCTGGGAAATGAAATGCCGTTCTACCAACATATCAAACAATTTCACTGCCGCGTGTCGTCTTTTGCGTGTCACTTGACATTGTGCTTTGTGCGCATCCATATCAGATCACAGAGAGTTTACATTAGAAGACGCATTTGTTTTTGTAATGTGAACGAGAACATAAAAAGAGCAGATTTAACAACAATAAAAAATCTGGATTGGGCCTCATGCCATACTGTCATGCAACTGTAGCCTGTCTGACTGCGACATCTAGCTGCTGACTTGAAAACTACATTCAATATAATATTATGCATCTTGTCCTTTTTTCCACAGACTGCTTTAAATTCCGCAGAGCTTTGAAATCCATACCAAATTCCAAATCCCGCGATTGCAGAATGACGGATTCCTGCGGGGACGTGTTATTTTAGAATCCTACTCTTATTTCTTTACTTTTAAGTGTTTTGGTGTTCTTGTTGGTTGCAGACAAAAACCAAGTGCAAAATGATTAGTGCATCCAAGCCTCCATATATTTATACATCAAAGTCATAATCCGGTAACATTTTGAACGTTTCGCGCACAAACAAATTTTCAGAGATGGACTTTCAAGTCTGTTTGATTCCACACTCTCAGAAACCCAAATACAACTAATCTAACTAATCTCTGAAATACAAACTGACCTTAAACGTTGGTTTTCCTCTTCCAGTTTCTGAATTTCCTTTGCGACCTTCACGGCCTTCTCCTCACTCCCCTGTCAGTCAAATTTACAGATTCACAAATCTTTTTTTTTTTACTAATTAATGGATACAATTTGCAGGTTTAGATTTCAAGTTTGCATGCGGTTTAGCGACCTAAACATGAGGCAAAACTCAGACCTTCATGGTTGCCGTGATGGCTTTCATATTAGAGGATGTGCTCTCAAACTTCAGCTCAAGAGCCTTCTTCTCAAAATTAACCTCATTAAAGTTAGACAGCAGCTCTTCATACTTAGCTCTGGAAAGCGGAACAGCATTGGTCATGCGCAATACGACAGTGTGATATAATAGGAGGCTGTTAATTATGGAGTGACTCACTGATTCTGTGTGAGTTCTGTTTTGAGTTGTACTATCTCAAAGCTGCACTCCTCTGCTTTCTTCATTTCACTGAACAACTTTTCCTCCAGCTCGTGTACTTTCGTCTGTGGAACAGCGTGAAAACACATGGAGCTGAGTAGTGCAATCATTACAATGTGTCTGCTCCCATACGATTTCCACAGTTGATGTAAAAACCTCAGAGTTGCGCTGCTTCTCCAAGAAATATTTTTCTGCCTTTTCACCAGCTTTCTTGAGCTTTTCGTTGTCTACACGTATAGTCTCTGCCTCACACTGGTTTAAGGAAAAAAAAAA